CGTTTGAGACGGAAGACAGCTTAAGGGGACCCCCCATTCTCGGGGTCAAAATTTTTGTTGATATAATTCGAATCTACACTGATTAAAGAATGTCTCTACAAAATTTCAAGTGAAAATCTCAAGAACTCTTGAAGATATAGCCGATTTATTGTGTCAGCATCAAGTGACGGCTGAAGGGCTTCTCAAACTTTAAACGCGTTTTTCTCTAAACATTTTTTTGCGAATGGCGGGCACGATAACTCAAAAACTAATTATCCAATCGGTTCCAAATTTTGCAACGTTTCTCTGGGAGTGTATAGCTCTCGTATGAACTAGGATAAAGCCAATTGGTGAAGAACTTCCTTATTTGTTAACTTGGTTTTTGGTCAAAAATCGGCGATTTTCCAAAAATATTTTTTCAAAGGTCCACCATTTTGTTAATTTTAGAGCGAAGTCAATAATCCTAGTTCATACGAGAGCCAGACATGTACTCTTTCTAACACCGTTGGAATTTTCGGATTCCGATGTTCCAGTGAGGAGTTATCATGCCCGCCATCAAAAATAAGGACTTTTCTTTAATTACAAAAAACAACAACAAAACAATAAAAATTTTTTTTTGTAAATTATTTTTCTTCTCTTTTAAATCTTCAATTATATATGTGCAAAGTTACAAACCTTAACAAGCATTTGTATTCATTTACCAGCCCATTGAAAATCTTGAAAAATTAAAATCGAGAATGGGGGAGGTTCCCTTAAATATATATTTCGAAAGCATGTCTGATTGAGATTAAATTTTAAATAGTGCGACATTCCGAATAGCGTGTATAAGGTTTGCTATAAATCGATTTACATAAATTTGTCCCATTGTACGCAAACAACTCTAAATCCGATCGAATGAAATTAAATTTAGCATAGGTTGCAGAAACGCATGTGTATGCACTGATCACATATTTAAGTTCGTTCAATTTCATCTCAATGTACCTTCGAGGGAACATTGACTTCAAACTTTTAGGATACATATCGCTCATTTGCTGCAAGAGAGACATAACTCAAAAAACGTGATTTTCGAGTTAATGATTCACGATTGTTCGCTGTAAAATTTTCATATGAATATCTCTAACACACTCTAATTGAGATGCTGTAAAAGTTCCTCTGTCCCATATAAAGTGTGAGTAAATTGAAAACTTAAAACGCATTTTCTGCAAAATCGATTTTTTTTTTGAGTTATGCCTGTCTTGCAGCAAATGGGCGATATGTACAATATACGCAAGTGGTGAAGGGTATCATATAGTCAGCCCAGTCCGACTTTCCGTACTGGTTTTGTATTACAAAGGGGCTGTAATATGGCACTCGTGACTTTGTTGGGTAAACAACTTCTTCACAGAGAAATTTCAATACAAACCCTTCGACATAGCATTTTTACAAAGGATACGCGCCATTTTCGGTATGTTTAAGGCCCAGGATAAAATCTGCGTTTGCTACGGCAAAGTTCCCATTAAAAGTCCCGACAGATTTTAAGTATTTTAAATGTGGTGTTCGTCTCTGTCTAACTTAACGACGTTTTAATCGTTTTAATTATTAAGTTAATATGGTTTCAAGGAATGAATTGATCATGATGAATGTTCGGACAGACGTTGTATCATTTAGCTGAAAAATTATGAAATTATTACAATAAATAGAATCGGATGGTTTTATATATGGAACGTACATCTAATCTGAATGCGTAAAAGACACATCCATAGTCAAATCACTTTAATTTGTGAAAATTATCATGTGTCCCAGCCATACAAATAGACGACCGTTATTTCTAAATCGTCCCCAAATTGAAGTAGTTTTTTTCCAAAGATATAATGTAAGAAATACGACATTTTTGCGGACTTTTGTGGGGACCTTCAAAATTTGTAGATATATCGAACTTCAAATTTCAGCCACTTCGGTTAGAAGCTTAAGTTTTCGAAATCCATTAAATTGGTCCAGATCATTATATGGAGCTATGTGAAGACATAGACTTAATTTAATACGAATGTCAGCATTATTTAAACATGTATAAATATATTTTTTTGTTTTAACAGAAAACTGCATATGTCAGAAGAGCTAATCAACCTTCACACCAATATTGACTATAATTAAACTTTTAGTACCTTTGTTCTCTTCTAGTACGGATTTCCAATAATACCTCCATATCTCAATACTATACACCAATTCTGGAAATCAGTACTACGGACACTAATTCCAAATTTCATGATTCGAGCTCTATAGATTAACCCAAATCTTAATTTTACCAAATTTAGTACCATATAGTACTCATTAATATTAATTCAAACATATCTCCCAATTTCAGTATCCCAGCTCGATTCCTTGAACCAAATATAATTGACCAAATTTAGTAGCATTTAAAACACATTACTACGAGTTTCCAAAACTTCCTACATACCTCAATACCACACTCCAACAGTAATGTTAATTCCAAATTTCAAGATTCCAGCTTATCGGTTCAACCAAATCCAGTTTTGTTATAAAATTTAGTAACATTTAGTACGAATTTCTAAACTGTTTGCATACCTCAAACCTAAAACCCAACAGTGAATCCAAATTTCAAAATTCCAACTCTATCACTTCGCCCAAAATTTGAATTGTCCCAAATTTAGTACCATTTAGTGCCTATAAGTATAAATTTCCAAAACTCCAACACTAATCTTATTTCCAAATTTCAGTGTTCCTGTTCTATCGGTACACCCAAATCCAAATTGTACTAATTATAGTACGATTTAGTACTTTTCGTATACATAATTGAACCAGTGAGCGGAGCAGTATAGTCGGACGGGGCCGACCATATGATACCCTACACAACTTCCACGAAACTATAACTTTCTGTGATTCTATATTCTAAGCTTGGGCAATATTTAGCGATATTTGCACCCTCTTGACCGACTAAAGGTCAACAAATTTTACAAATATTCATTACAGCCCTTCTAATCACTTGTCCAGATTCCCTTCACCGTGGGTTGTGTTGTGATGTTCGGTTTTCAATTTTGGCTTATAGATCGACTTGAAAAAAAAACCAAAAAATAAGTTTTCGGTCCATTTCATCCCAAAATTATTATCTGATCATCACCGAAAATTATAGGCGTTGTCGATGAACATAACTTGAACCTCATGGAGAATTTCAAAGCGATCAGTGCTATATTTCCGCCCTCTAGTGTGGTAATGGGCTTCTAAATAATATATGAATACGTAAGCACCTGTAAATATTTATGTGTAAGTCCCGCACCCGAGTACATACAACAACACAATTGGTATCAATTTAAAGATCAACCACTCCTCTAGAACACACTATCAACTTCTTGGGTCTAGGACATTCAGGTGCAAATATAAACCCCATAGAATACAAATTTTGTAATTTTTCACACAAAAGTCAGGGTCCAGTTGACCCGCTAAATATTGACCGATGTTTATCAAAACAGGCATACTTATTCTTTGGCACGATCCCCTTCTCCGTGCAAAAATTCGCAGTGTTTGGGTCATAATTGCGGCCTCTGGAGCGACCAGAAAAACTGACAAAAATAAAGTTTTGGTCCATTTCATCCCCTAAATATTAACCGATCTTTTCCAAAAACAATAGGGGTCTTCATTGGCCAGAACCCATCCTACATGCAAAATTTCGTGAAGATTGGTCCATAACTGTGGCCTGTATCGTGTTTACAAATTATAATGGACGGACGGACGGACACACATGTCTAGATCGACTCAGCTAGTCGAGATATGACGATCGGTATACTTAAAGGTGGGTCTAGGACCAATATTTCGCGGCGTTACAAACTTTTGGGGCTGCACAAAGCTATAATACCCTGACAACATAGTTCTGTAGGGTATAAAAATTACGTACATATCCCAATCCTACACTCCGACGGTATTGTTAATTTCAAATTTCAGCATTCCATCACCATCCGTATCCCCAAATTAAAATTGTACAAAATATAGTACCATATAGTTCTTTACGTATACACATCCTAAACCACCTCTTTATATCGACCCTGCTTCTCAACCTTTATTCACGTTCCAAATTTCAAGTTTTTAGCTCTGTCCGTTCAAATGCTACGAAATTGTAACAAAATAAGTACATTTTAGTACTTTTCGGATAATTATAGTTCGAATTTTCAAAAAGCCTTGACTACATCTATCCTGCACTCCATCAGTGATCCTCATTCCGAATTTCAGAGTTTTAGCTCCACCGGTTCGCCAAATACAAATGGTACCATATTTAGTATTTTTACCATTTTTCGTTCCGTTCTAGTATGAATTTCAAAAAGCCCAGCCTTATCTGACACCTTCGGACTAAGAGTGACCCTCACCCCAAATTTCAAAATGGGGCGGTACAGTAATACATATGAGGGCTATGCCAAAACTTATATAAAATTAAATTGTGGACTAATAAGAATGAGCAGATGTTCCAGAATACTATAGAAGTATAACTGATCTAGATAATATCAATAGTACGCATCACTACAAATGTCATGACAGAATAATAATAAATAATAAACTTACATGATCGTTCCGAATTTCCATTATTATCTGCCTTGAGGCAATTTTCCACATATTATCATTTCTATCCATATCACAGCTTCATTTTTATTTCGCACTTGTCAATACTTTCATATCGAATAATCGAATTGTTTATAATATACATCCATTATCTTGCTTGTTGACCCTTCGGAATACGAGAAGCTTCTTTGCACTTTTTCGCAAGCAGGGCATTGCTTTAAGAATTTTCTACCAATGCACTCGGACAACAATGCACAATTGCAGTTTAGCGCTTTTATTATTATCTCTTTCCATTGCATTCTTTGTTTCGTTTGCGTAAAAAGCAGTAACAACCCAGGCAGCTCAACCTAGCCATTGCTCAATGGCTATGCTTCCCTTAGCTGCGGAATATAAAGCATTCGCACAACTGTTTTGTTCAGTGAACCAAACAAACAACCCCAACAATTAGTTGGTTTGAAAAGCTTGTAGTGTGTAGACGCATGTTATCGCCGCCTTCTTCGGCTGTTTCCGCTTCGACAGTGCCTTTAGTAAACGCGCAAACGAATCAACGCGCCAGCATGGATATTCGCCTGAAACTAGTGCTGCAGTGCTTCTTTGCGGAATTTTTCGGCACTGCTATGGTTTTGTTTAGCGGTTGCATGGGTGCCCTGGAGACGGGACTTTTCGATAACTCCCACTTCCAATATAGTTTAAATATGGCCTTGATGGTAATGGTAGCCGTCCAGTGTTTTGGTCATGTATCGGGTGGTCATATAAATCCCGCTGTAACATTGGCCGGTTGGATTTGTGGTGTCGTTAAGTTTCATATGGTGTTGGCATATTTCGTTGGACAATTTTTGGGTTCCATTGCTGGATTTGGATTATTAAAATTAATTGTGTCAACTGATAATGGATTTTGTATGACCCTGCCGGGAAATAATATTAGCACGGGTCAAGCATTTGCCATCGAATTTGTAATAACGAGTATTCTCATTACCGTTTGTTGTTCGACTTGGGATGATAAGAATTCGAAATTTCAAGATTCATTGGCGCTGCGATTGGGTTTGACAGTTGGAACATTGCTATTTTCAGCGGTAAGTAGTATATTTGAATACACTATTTAAGAGTTTACTCATCTTCTTTATAAAGGCTTTTTAACGTGATTTTTAAGAAACATTCAAACTAAATATGTTGAAATTATTTTGGTGACCTCAGTGAATAAAATACCATTATTTCCACCCCCTCTGAAGAAATTCAATATAGTATCAAACTTTTTCACATTGTCTCCTCCAAATCTGCAGCTGTAATTTGCGGGTTTTACGGGTCTCAACCAATAAAAATCCTCCTGAAAGAAAATTGTAAAATGCCAATTTACCATACCCACACATTTGCAAATTTTTTAAAGTTCGTAGAAGCATTTTCCTACTGAATATTCCTACCGATATTTAATAAATAATTCGATCCTGATAGAAAATTGCCAATATATCCGCCGTGTCTTTTAAAGAACGTAAAAGAGTTTTCCCACCGAAGTAGTTGTGCTTTTCGGATGCTGAAATATCTCCTGGTAGATTTCAAATTATCAATATAAGTATATTTTTAGGGCAGCTCCCATATATGGTACGTCCCAAATTTCAGTATTTTGGGGAATTTATGCGCGTTATTCAAGAAAATGTAAATTCAAGAATGTAATTTAGTATTTTAAATGTCAGTTTTTCTTACCAACAAGTAAAAAAGTGTAATTCCGTATTGCCGACAGATATAAACCATCGGCCTATGGTTTGCGGAGGTCTTCGGAATTAGACACATGTTCTATTCCCAGCTTCGTACTTGATCTGGGATTGGTGAAGATAATAGCTTGTGCAAAGTTTGGTTCAAATCCGACATTCATTTTACCTAATACTGGATTTATAAATATTGAAAATTTTGACCATTTGTGGGGGAGGTACAAGAAAGGACCGACAGGTCCCAACTTCGGACTTTATCTAGGCTTGGAAAGATATTGGATTTATAAATATTGAAAATTGTGACCATTTGTGGTGGAGGAATAAGAAGGAGTGGTCCAATGGGACCACGCAAAAACGCAACTACGTAATTCTATGCTCAATTTTGTAAGATGTGCAAAATTTGATGTCAATCTGACTACATGAGGAGTTTGATGCCCAATTTACTTGAAATCGGGCGAAAATATATATGGAAGCTCTATCCAAATATTAAGCGATTTCAAACAAACATGTCAAAGGTTAGGTTATAGTAATTTCAGAACGTTTTGTTCCTATCAGCCTATTGGTTCCCAAATCTGAACCGACTTTCACGAAACAAGGCAGACATCACTCTAGGCTCAATTCAGTACGTTATGCCAAATTTCGTGCAAATCGAAAGATATATAGCGACTTTGGTGCACCTTTTACATGAAATCGGACGAAACTATATATGGGAGCTATATAGAAATCTGGACCGATTTTCTCAAAACTTGGCAGACATCACTCTAGGCTCAAATCAGTACGTTATGCCAAATTTCGTGCAAATCGTAGGATATGTAGGGACTTTGGTGCACCATTTATATGAAATCGGACGAAATTATATATGGGAGCTATATCTAAATCAGGACCGATTTTCACGAAACTTGGCAGACATCATTCTAGGCTCAATTCTGTATGTTATGTCAAATTTCGTGCAAATCGAAGGATATATAGGGACTTTGGTGCACCATTTACATGAAATCGGACGAAACTTTATATGGGAGCTATATCTAAATTTTGACCGATTTTCACGAAACTTGGCAGACATCATTCTAGACTCAATTCAGTACGTTATGCCAAATTTCGTGCAAATCGAAGGATATATAGGGACTTTGGTGCACCATTTACATGAAATCGGACGAAACTATATATGTGGAAGCTATATCTAAATATAGACCGATTTTCACGAAACTTGGCAGACATCATTCTAGACCTAAATGATTAGGCTGTACCATATTTCGTGCAAATCGATAGATATATAGGGACCGTTTACATTAAATCGGTTAAATATATATATGGGAGCTATATCTAAATCTGAACCGATTTTTCCCAATTTTAATAGGGTTCGTCCTTGGGCTGAATAAGTGACCTATGCCAAATTTCAGCCAATTCGGATCATAAATGCGACCTGTACTTTGTTTACAATTTAACATGCACAGACAGACAGACGGACAACGGACGGACATGCATAAATCGACTTAGAAAGTGATTCTATGCATATTCTCAAAAGGAACCATGTGTCTATCTCGTTTCCTTTTGCATGTTACAAACATATGCACAAAGACATAATACCCTGTACCACAGTGTGGTGAAGGGTATAAAAAGGTTGTACAAAGGTTCAAATCGGATGGACCGTTGGCATGATATTACGATGTGCAAAGTTTGGATGAAATCAGTTACTCACTTTGAGAGTTATCGTGCGTATCAGACGGATGGACATTTGAAAATCGAATCCAAATTGTCCGGATTTGTCGAATTATAGGTACACCGTCTCGTTTTCAACCAAAATGGATGTAAATTTATCTTTTGGATTCTCATTGGGTAAATATATTCCTGCCAAAAATTATCAATACTGCCCAATACTTCGGGGTAGCCCCAATATAACGTAAATCCGTATTTTCAGTATGTTGGGGATTTTGGGCACGTTTTCAGCTAAATTGGTTTTAATTTAAAATTTGATGTTATCATTGGATGGAAAATCTTAAACCAAAAATTAGAAATATCGGACGATTTTGGCTATAACCCTTATATAAAGGCACATTCCGTTTATAGGCATTTTGATGGCCCTATGTTCATTTGACATTATGGGTCTTAAACAATTTCTTTCGAGAACCTTTTCAATATTTTTATATAGCCCCGTATAAAGGCCAAGCGTCATTTGCTGTAAGTTCAAGGACGTATTCCTCATATAATAGTCCCTATCGAGTTTAGTATTGTAAACATCCTTCTCTTTTTTAAAGGTATAAAATTTGCAGTCGGCCCGAATTTATTAATTTTTCTATTTGTGTACCCGCCATTTTAAGCTTTTTGCTCATCGGATTCACAGCTTAACTAAGGTTGAATGTTTCCGAAAAGGTGGATTTCATTCCTTCCACCTAAATTAAATAACTGAAAGCCTACTAAACTCAATCCAGAGAATCTGAAACCACTGATGGAAGTAGCCGCACTTATAATAAGCAGATTTTTCGAGATCCAAATTGATTTAAACAAAGGAATTGCCCTGCTACAACAACATTTTTATTTCCAATTGATCAACCTTTCCCGTACAATAAAGTGGGTTAACCAAAGCCGGACTAGTGGTCCATAACAACAGCCTGTAGTTTGACAAATAAAAATGTACCGTGGGATAGACGAATGTTGGGTCTAAAAACTATATTTCTTTGTGTTACAAATTTTTAAGCAAACCCAAATTTATAAAAGCTTTACAACATAGTCAAAATATTGAAATATCTCCAGTGATTCTGCATCATACTGAATATTTTAACGGATTTAGGACTATTACTATTTATACTCATACTTCTGTCAACCCCACATATTATAAAATCATTGGGATTTGTGAATTCCCATACCTATCATTTTGGAACTGGAAATTCACATTCCCGGTTTTCAAATATTTCTATAATAAATGTTTTTCCTTCTAACTGAAATTATTTGTTTCATTCGTTTTAATTTTTACATTTTTTCAGGGTAATCTAAGTGGTGGCAGCATGAGTCCTGTACGTTCCTTCGGTCCAGCCCTATGGTCAATGGATTTCACTCAACACTGGATATATTTTGTGGCACCCATGTCCGCATCATTGGTTACAAGTTTGGTTTATAAAGCTGTATTTATGTCAACACAAGAAATGGCTTCACACCTTTCAATACATGTTGTGGATTGAAAAAAAAAACGTGTGTGACAACGCAACTTGATGCCAAATATTATATTATTCGTTTCAGAATACAAAGTCTTTTAACTATAAGAAATATTTATTTTTAGATTCATAAAATGACAAATTACTATTTAAGTGATATTTATAATATATAAATTACATAATTATAAGAAAATATGCAATATATGTATATGTAGCTATACAACCAAGTTAATTTTTTTGTGACGACTAATTCAAATTCACATGGAGTCAAAAAGAAGTGAACAAAACTGCAAACACTTGTTTCAATATTTAACCCTTTCAGTGCCAAAAAATATTTGTCGGAATAAAAATCTAAAATTTTTTACTTAAAATCACAGGCACAGAGTTTAGAAAAAAAGCAATTCTTATTTTAACCCTCGGATAGTTTTGTCTGTCTTTCAGCAAAAACAAATACATCAATTGTAACGGTACATAGGATAACCGAAAATTTGCAAAGGAAGAGAGTAGTTTTAAATGTCGAATATATTCGACAAAAACACTGAAAGGGTTAAACCCAGTTGACAAAGTGCCACACACAGAGACCAAGTATCAGCTAAATAACGTATGTTTTCCGACACGTGCTCAACCGATTTCTATGATTATTGTCTTATCTCATAAAGCAAATAATCGAGTCCGTCTAGGTACATTCTTACATTAAACACTTTAACTCTGACTATTCAGATTGTGATTATAACTATAGATTTTGATAATAGTGAATATATTTAATTGTCCCTTCAGTGATATTGAACCAGTATAGATAGAAATAAGTAAAAACCGCCTTAAGGAGAACATACAAAATATCTAAAATAGGTTGGGACCTTAATCATTGTAAATTGTCTGATAGTAGGTTGTACTGTCGGACAGACAGATAGGTCAAGAAATGGGCTAGGCACTACAACATATCGAAAACCAGTGAACGGAGCAGTCGGACGGGACCTACCATAGTATACCCTACACCGCTATCACTGGACTTAAATTTTCAGTGGAACTACATTTCGATACTGTGGAAATTTGCGCAGCTCCACATTTGCGCCTCTAAGGCAACTTATCTGCACCATGTCTTCTGAATGAAAATTTTATAATTTTCCACCTTAAATTTGTCGATCCGTTTGCAACACATGCTCCGTTTAATTTTTGGTTGGTTCTTACCCTAGTTTTCCAACCAGAATGTCTGTAATATGGAACATCATTTTTTAGAGAATTTCCATATAATTCGATAACATAAGACAATATTAAGGCCCCGACCGATTTAAGGGAACCCCACCCATTCCTGATTCTAATTTTTCAAGATTTTTAATGGGCTGGTAAATCAATACCAATGCTTGTTAAGGTTTGTAACTTTGCACATATATAATTGAAGATTTAAAAAAGAAGAAAAATAATTTACAAAAAATGTTTGTTATTGTTTTGTTGTTGTTTTTTGTAATTAAAGAAAAATCCTTATTTTTTGATGGCGGGCATGATAACTCCTCACTGGAACATCGGAATCCGAAAATTCCAACGGTGTTAGAAAGAGTACATGTCTGGCTCTCGTATGAACTAGGATTATTGACTTCGCTCTAAAATTAACAAAATGGCGGACCTTTGAAAAAATATTTTTGGAAAATCGCCGATTTTTAACCAAAAACCAAGTTAAAAAATAAGGAAGATCTTCACCGATTGTCTTTATCCTAGTTCATACGATAGCTATACACTCACAGAGAAACGAGTAAAAATTTGGAATCGATTGGGTTATTAGTTTTTGAGTTATCGTGCCCGCCATTCACAAAGGAGAAAAACGCGTTTAAAGTTTGAGAAACCCTTTAGCCGTCACTTGATGCTGACACAATAAATCGGCTATATCTTCAAGAGTTCTTGAGATTTTCACTTGAAATTTTGTAGGGACATTCCTGAATTTGTGTAGATTCGAATTAAATCAAAAAAATTTTGACCCCGAGAATGGGGGGGTCCCCTTAAGGAATTTTGAAAGACCACTACATTGTGACCGTACTTAACAATTTCTTTACTTGTTATTTATTTCTAACAGACATGTATGCTTATTAGTTGCTCAGATCCCCTTCTCACGTAAAATTTAATGCTGTGTGGATCATAAATATGATCTATAGACAACATACAAAATTAACAAAAACTATGACACCTATAGTTTCTGGTGACGACTGTTTAATATGTCAATGAACTTTATCTAGAACTTGCAACATGTTGTAAGGATCGGCGACAATATTTGAGTATTTAAGTAAACTCCCACATCCGAATACATATGTATATTAATATAATTGACATACATTTTTAGGTCCTCTACATCTTCGGTCTGTGCCTTTCCTGAAGGTATATATATACATATATACAGTGGCTCCATCGAATAATCGGACAAGTGGTTGTCAGATATAATAATGCTATACATTTCAAAAAAATTGTCTAAATGTGTATTTTTTCGCTTTTATTTACACATTATTTACTTATATTTCTGAACAATACAAAGAACAACAACTTTCCTAGTGATAACAGTAAATTTCGCCAGAAAAACAAAATTAACTCAATTTATTGTGTTCAACGCAAAATCGGACAAAGCAAAGTATCAATGTTAACCAGTAAGGAAAGCAGTAAAGTCGGACGGGGCCGACTATATGATACCCTTCACCACTTTCGGTATATCCAACAGATGAAACCTAAAAGACGTCGAATTTTTAAAGGACCAGGGACAAAATTATGAAAATCTATTATAAGCGTATATATATATATATCGGACGACATATATGGCCCTATATCTAAATCTGGACCGATTTTCACGAAACTAAACACACATTCATTAATTCATTACGCAATGCCAAATTTCATGCAAATCGAAAGATATACAGGGACTTTGGTGCACCATTTACCCTAAATCGGAGGAAACTATATATGGGAGCTATATCTATATCTGAACCGATTTTCTCGAAGTTTGGCACACATCATTCTGAACCTAATTCAGTACTCTCTGCCAAATTTCATGCAAATCGAAAGATATAGAGGGACTTTGGTGCCCCATTTACCTTAAATCGGACGAAACTATATATGGGAGCTATATCTAAATCTGAACCGATTTTCTCGAAACTTGGCACACATCATTCTGGACCTAATTCAGTACTCTGTGCCAAATTTCATGCAAATCGAAAGATATAGAGGGACTTTGGTGCCCCATTTACCTTAAATCGGAGGAAACTATATATGGGAGCTATATCTAAATCTGAACCGATTTTCCCGAAACTTGACACACATCATTCTGGACCTCAGTCAGTACTCTGTGCCAAATTTCATGCAAATCGAAAGATATAGAGGGACTTTGGTGCCACATTTACCTTAAATCGGCCGTAACTATATATGGGAGCTATATCTAAATCTGAACCGATTTTCTCCAAACTTGGCACACATCATTCTGGACCTAATTCAGTACTCTGTGCCAAATTTCATGCAAATCGAAAGATACAGAGGGACTTTGGTGCCACATTTACCTTAAATCGGACGAAACTATATATGGGAGCTATATCTAAATCTGATCCGATTTTCTCGAAATTTGGCACACATCATTCTGGACCTTAGTCAGTACTCTGTGCCAAATTTCATGCAAATCGAAAGATATAGAGGGACTTTGGTGCCACATTTACCTTAAATCGGCCGAAACTATATATGGGAGCTATATCTAAATCTGAACCGATTTTCTCGAAACTTGGCACACATCATTCTGAACCTAATTCAGTACTCTGTGCCAAATTTCATGCAAATCGAAAGATACAGAGGGACTTTGGTGCCACATTTACCTTAAATCGGACGAAACTATATATGGGAGCTACATCTAAATCTGATCCGATTTTCTCGAAATTTGGCACACATAATTTTAGACTTAATTCAGTACGCTGTACCGAAATTCGTGCAAATCGGATGATTTTCAGGGACTAAAGTCCTCAAATCGGACAAAAATATATATGGGAGCTATATCTAAATCTGAACCGATTTTTCGTCCTTGGGTCATATAAGTGGCTTGTGTCAAATTTCATCCAAATCGGATCATTAATGCGAGCTGTATATTATTCACAAGAATACATGGGCAGACGCGCATGCATAAATCAACTCAGAAAGTGAAACCATGTGTCGTTTCCTCTTGCCTGTTACAAACATATGCACAAAGACATACTACACTGTGCAACAGTGTGGTAAAGTGTATAAAAACAGGAGTTCATCTTAAAAGACATGGATATGAAGATATAATGAAGGTTTTCTGAGAATGCCTACTCTTGGGGTCTTGTGTATTTACAGGACCACAAAAAGGGGTTTTGCCAGTAGAACACGTGAAAATGCTCTTCCCTCTAACTATGACCTGGTGATAAAGATTTATTTTAAAAAATCTAGATATTTTGACCTTAGAAGGTCTGGAGATAAAGGCATGAGGAATGTATTTTGTCTTTACAGGATATGAAGAATTGTTTCCAAAATTCAGGTTTCATTAGTCTTGTAAAAAAATGATCTATAAAAAATATTGTTTCAGAAAATTTACGTATCACCAGACTTTGGTAATTTAAATTTTCAAAATCCCGCCTCCGCTGGTCTTTGAAAAAAATCTACATGCAAATTTTAGAAACTTCTGTCCCATAAAATTTCGGCTATGATAAATGGGCGGGATATCCTAAAGAAAATATCCGAACTGATTTTAGTTATTTGGAACGTATACAAAATTCGGCTAGGACCACATAATATAATTTTAGTGAAGAAGTTACATACTTACTGATACTGATTTGAACAATTGGATGCACAGGTAATCTGCATCGTAATCGGCATATAATGTTAAATTTAGGAAGCACACCATCGTATGGTTAGGGTATCATGTGAGGAAAATCTTTACCGATTTAAAATTGCAACATATTTTGCGAAATTTCATTTGACGGCTAAGATTTGCCACACGTTACATTGAAGTACCCAAAAAATCGTAAAACGCGAATAATTTTCGAAAACTCCAT